CAGGAGACGGGACCCTCGGCGGCCGGTAGCAAAACATGTCTGAGGCGCTGAGACGCGGCATCCTCCGCCGGCGCATCGCGCTGGGTAGGAACCTTGTCATTATTCACGCGCTTGTATTTTTATGAGACCTGACAGCCTGCGAAGCATCAAAATAAATCATTTTGCCCTGTGATATTTGCGATCGCGGTCAAGTTTGTTTCACAGGTCATAAGATACATGAAATGTGGTAAATGCCTGCATGTCGATGCGTTGATCTGATATGTCCAATAAAGCTGGTAAAAATGAGCGTCGCAGTTTGTCCTCAAGCTTCATTACGTCCTTTACGTGCGTTGTACCTGTAGATTGTGCCATAGTTTGGCTAAAGCACACCCGAGTGCGACAATCATCAGAAGTTCAAAGACTTGTATATTGAACACGAAAATCCCAGCCTTAGCGGACCGGAGTGAGCTGGGTGCTGCCAATGCTACCTGTGAGGACCTTTGATTCGAAACATTTGAGCACATAAGACAAGCTCGTGCAGAATGGATACGGTACGTTTCCCATGTGTAGGATCCATAATATATATATATATATATATATATATATATATATATGCAGAAAGACGTGCATAGGGTGCTACGTGATAAATGCTCTCAGTAAAGCGCCCGACCGGACCACAGCTTCCCGCTCTACTTCTTCCGCCATGCTGTGGGGGGGGGGGGGGGGGAGCGCGCACCGCCCGCTGTCCAATGCAATTTGAAGGGGCTGGCGGACAGCGCCGTTTGATTTAGTACGAGATCCCGCAAGCTTCGATTGCGCTGAATTCACCAAAATCAATGCGAGCACACTGAGTTTTGCGTTCGGCCCCCCTCTGTCCAAGATGGCTGGACAGTTCCAGAGTCTTGGCTCGGCGTCAAATGGCACGGTGGACATGCTGTTTCGATGTTCTTTTATTCCTTTACGATCCGCGTTGAGACTCGTCCTCCTCTGACTCAGTGAGCACGGTGTTGCGACTCGTTAACTGTATGACTTGGCCACTAAGGAATACCTGTTTTCTGTTGCATGTCAGCTCAGCTTGGATGCAGGCCGTGCTTAGGTAAGTTCCACTATAAGATTTATGCGGGCCCATTTGCGCTGATAAGTGAAGCATGAGCAGGCTTACCCTGTATGTTTATCTCCTAGAGTGGCATGACTATATCACTGTCGTCATATTTCACCATATTGCAGCAATGTGTCTGTCAGCCAGCAACATCTAACGACATTCTGGACGAGACCATAAGGCCCGACGACGCATCCAACAGGAAAAACTACATACATCATGCAACCAGGACCGATGATGTTGGCTGCATTAAAAGTGTCGGTGACACATGCCTCTTCGGAGCCGCCGCTGAGCTCCTGACTCAGAGGGCAGTTGGTGTTATATATATATATATATATATATATATATATATATATATATATATATATATATATATATTATAATCAGCAAACGAAGATACATAAGAAATTCTCGCCCCGCCAAGCAAAAGATTCACACAGAGTTAGGTTAAACTTAGCCTATCCTCAAGTCGAAAGGAACAACCCATAGTGTGCATCAGTGCGTGCATCGAGCTGCGCTTTTTCGACGGCGCAACGCGGAAAAGTCGCCGCGTCAATGAATGCGCAATATTGTTCGTTTCATTCGGGTTCAACGTTTATCTTTCTTTAGCTATCAAAGGCAAATGCCTTGTTTTTAAATGTTAAGCACGCTGGGCGTGAGCTTTGGTTTCAGAAATGCAAAGCACTATCAAACAGTCGGTCCTTTCTTGTCGCGACCTTTGTCTGGTTGCCAATGAGGGGCACTCCAGCTTTAGACGATACCACAAAAAAGATAACTGTGCAAAAGACGTTTCTGAACAGCTACCACTACATGCACCTTCATGAGAATGGGCAACTGGGTCATACACAGCAAAACATGAACATATCACTTTAAATGAATGTCATGTCTCAGCCGCCGGCCAAGGCAGTAAACAGCACATCACCTAGATGTGTGGCCCAAATGTTTGAAATGGTCGCTCAATGCTCCGTAGTGTGCCGCGGCCGGCCTAGCTGCTGCGGATGAAACGGAAATTATTCCACACGCCGAACCATTGGCCTGTGGCAAATTTGTTGTGGGAATTTGAATAACACATTCAGATCGGAGTAAGTCAGTTGCGTGCCGGCTATTATCGTCGCAAAGTTACTGCAACTTCGTGCGATTTACCACAGTAACCATCACATAATGCAAACCACCATACAGCTAAGTAAAACCAAACAAATGTTATTCAGAAAATCCTGCTTAGCAAACTAGATCATTATAAAGGTGACTGTTGGCCGGGAGGCAAACGGAAAAATATCGTGAATGTCGCCGTTTTGAATAGATACGTGCTCTTCGTGACTAGTTAGAGGTAGCCATATTTTGCAATCTAAGTTAGTTACATCTCTCACTTAGGTTCGCATACCTGCCGCCTAAATTCCGCTCAAATGCGGTAGTTTCTCTCTGATAGAAGGAAATGCTGTAACACGGCTCCGGGAGATTTATTATGTTTAGGAATTGTCGTTGATTCGTCATGATTTCGTTATTTCGTCATAGAGCGCCCTCATGCGTCAAACTGAAGCATAGCAGCGCCCAGAAATGTGGCTTGTAATGTGCACATGGTCATAGTCTATTCGACCATCGAGAGCGGAGCGATTCCAAACAAGATTTGCGTCCTCAAAGACAACTTTGACCCATCACGGGGCTTCAAACGGCTGGCCGCGCCGGTCGACTGACCCCGCGTCGGCAAACATGCCGGAGTCACTCCGTCCAAATGGACGCGGGCGCATCAACACCACTCCCAGTCAACCGACTGGCGAAACGAGGATTGCGATCGAAAAAGCACTGCAGTTGCCTAGGGACAGTTCATCAGGGCTGATAAATCATTGCTCTCGTGTAATCAGCCGCCACAGCCACGTCCTTGACGTGACCTACGCAGAGCGGTTACCGCTTCCGGCCGCCGACTGTGGAGAACTGATTGATCACGGGCAGTGCGCCTCGTAACGGCTGCAGAAGTGTCTATGGGCAGGCCTGCAGCCAGCTGAACCGAACAGAAGATGGATCAGCTGCTCACAACTCAAATGTTCCACCTGCTTTAACGCACTGGAACGCTAGACAGCAAACAATGTTTTTGTCCACTTGCGTGTGCATCAGTCGTAGGCTACTGACAACGCAAGACGCTCAGAAAGCAAGAAATATACTCGTAAAAAGCTAACACTCCAAACAGCCTGCTTATATTCCAAGGGAGGTTTCGGGATAATCTCTACCCCTTCCGCGGCCTAGGTCAAACAATGATATTCATGGACACAGATTTAGGGCACGCACTAAGAAAAGCATAAAAAGGCATAAGCAAGCAACATACCTGCGACTCTAAAGTAACGAAAGTACGAAAAATAACTTTTAAGATTCAGCCGCAAGGAAGTGTTGCAAACCGTTGACAGAGAAGGCATGCAATGTATTTATAATTGTGATGTGATCGTAACGAATTTCTAAACGTTGTGATGTCACATAGCAACTAACTGACGGTGCGCATACATCTTAAGCACGTACATGGTTTTTTGCACATTTCGTAGTCGATATAACAGCGACGCATACGGTATATCGCGACGTTAAACAAGATAACGGTTATAGCGTCTGACCGCCTAATGAGGTTTGATGCGTTAAAACAGGTGGAAAGCTCGGCTTGTACACAACTTATCCATCATCTGTTCCGTTCAGCTGACCGCAAAGCTGCCCATAAACACTTCTGCAGCCGTTACGAGCCGCAATGCGTCCGTGATCAAGCAGTTCTGCACAGTTGACGGTCGGAAGCTGTGAAGCTTTTACCGAACTACAACGTTGCTAATTATGTGATATATGTATATATATATATATATATATATATATATATATATATATATAGGTTTATATAGGTAGACATAGATATAAAGTACCATGTAATGATGTAAGTTACCTATACCTTAGTGTAGTGAACTAGCTAAATAAGTATTTACATTACCTATAATAACGCAAGTATTTACGTGACTTGTTTTAATGTCCCCATATGTCGTATGAGTCACTATTCAATTGATTCCGAAATGTGAAAGGGCTATGGACATGTGCAGTGTCACATAGTTGTAATGTGACATGGCAACATTCAGATGAAGTGCAATGTAATCGTGTCGAAATTGTGAGTGCATTGCATTTGTTCTTTGTCAACGGTCTGCATTATTTATCTGCGGCGAAAATAAAACAGACATCTATCATACTCTCGTTACCTCAGCGGGCTAGGTAAGTTGATTGCATGTGATCTTTACGTTTTTCTGGGTACGTATCTCATCTGTTTTCACGAATATGATCGTCTGACCAAGGCTGCAGAAGGGGTAGAGATCATCCCGAAGGTACCCCTTGAATAGAAGCAGGGTGGCTGTAATATCATCCTCTTTGAATTTGCAATGTTCCAGCTTAGTGATATTTTCAAACATCGAGATGCACCTGTTTATTAAGACAGGCAAATATCTGACTATGACTCCTTTCTAAGAAGAAGTGCAGAAATACGACCGCGGCTGTGCGTTCCACTGCACTGGTCCCATTTAGTTCATGCATGTATTACTCTGTGAGCCCCATCCACCACCTTTTAAGGCCATTGTCACATCTCCCGTTTCCCCGGAATCTGACATCACTCTTGTCCGCCTCATTCCTCGCTCCAACTCCCAGGTGACCGTCGGAAGACCCGCTGCCCACTCGCCTCGCCGCAGCCCGTCCCGTCATACCGTCCACGCATGCGGCGCCCCAGGCTCAGTGACGCGCCGTTCGAACAGGTTGCTGTGACGCGTGCGCCGGTCTCCGCGCCTCTCCCCCGGAGGCGCCCCGCTAGGCGCCCCCGGCACTGCTCTGCGCCCCCAGGCTGCGCCGCCGCCGCCGCCACCGCCGGCGCCGAGGCGCCCGCACAGCGGCGGGCAGTGCGCGGCGCGCGGCCGGCGGGAGGCGTCGAGGCGGTGTCCGGCGCTCAGCAGTGAACAGGGACGGGCGTAGCGCCGGAGTGGTCTGACGGGCAGGGTAGCGCCAGGCGTCGGGGGCACCATGAGCGCGGCGCGGGGCGTGTGCCGGTGGGCGCTGCTCATCACTGTGGCTGTCTTCAGTCAAGGTGAGTTTGGACAGAGATGAAAGTGCGCTTAGTGCTTAGGAGATAGGGGGAGAGTTTCACGCAAAGGCGCACAGCGCATACAAATTCGCATGTATTTGTCGGCAAACCTGGTCAAGACAGTTCTTAAAACATTCGTCGGGTGGCTTTAGTTCAGTTGTGTACACCCCGAAGTACGGCGACGTCCGAGTCGGCCTAATTTAGCACAGTTGTCCGCATTCAAATGCCATTTGTCTCAGTTACAATACTCGTGACGGGCAGCAGCTATCCGCCCCTTATCGCTTACAAATGAACTGCCCTTGAAACAATTGGACTCCATGGGCAGACTTCAGGAAGCAAAACTGAGACGACTGTAACCGGCAGATACGAAACTGAGAGTTGGAAAGAAGTGTATAAAAGGTGCTGGTCATACAGATCCAGGAAGTCTTCTGACAAATGCGCGTCTCTGATTTACTTAGATTGCGATGAAAAATAAGTTTGTGTCTTCACCACATAAGATATTGCGTTTCAATCGATATCTACGTAATACAATTCACCAGATTACTAACGATGGCAACGTTACCCACTGAACGCTCTGCCAAAGTTTTGTGCGCCTGGTGTGAAGCCCAGTTTTCTTAAGTCTGATTGCACACGTTTCCCTGCCCATTTCATAGACGTGTCTCTCCGATGCATTACAATCATTGCTTCCCTGATCGGTGCCAAATCGCATGCTGCGTTCACAAGTTGTAGGAACTCTGGTGAGCCCCCGGGCACGTCCAGCGTGAGTTTTATAAACGTCGTCGCTACAATAGAGATGTGTATGCGTCTCACTCCAGTCTTGGCCCTTCTATCCCTCGCGACAGGCACACAGCCCCAACAATGCCAGCCGTTCCTGGCTCTCGCCTGGCGCCTCCCGCGGCATGCGCCGCTGCACAATAACTCACTGATTAGATGGGCCCAGCGGGGCGCACGGCGTTCTCCGTCTCCATCCCGCCCCGGTTACCTGGCGCATTGTTGGCCGAAGGGACCGTGAAATGGCGCCTCGCCACATGCCAGCCTGCTCACTCCGCGCCCGATGTCACTGGGAGTTAAGCTGATCCGCGCCATGTGCCATTGAAGTCATGTTGTAGTCTGCCTCTTTTGTCTCTGCTTGTCTGTTTGTCTACTTTGTCGGTGCAGGTTAGAGTGCGCTTTGTCCCGTGTCTTGCGTACTTCTGTGGGTTTGAGCACGCTGTGTGGCTCGTGACCAGACGGCGTTTTATTCCTGGTGCCACTGTGCGTTGGGCTCGACTTGACGTCTCTGGATGTCAGAATGTACCCGCCCCATGCGCCACTGTAGGTCGGCCTACTCTGTTCCGCCTTTAACTACACGCCAAACTGTGCGTCCCGCGTCACTGTAGATCAGACTCCACGCTGTTCCTTGTGTGAATGTCGCCCAGTCTACTCTGTTCTTGTGTTACCGTAGCTAGCAATTCTGCCCTTTCCACGATACTGTAGATCACACTTACCTGCCCGTTTTACCATACGTCGGGGTGTATTCTATTTCGTAATCCAACGTAGGCCAGGCCTGTCAATGTTCACCAGATCAGGGCAGGTCAGACTGGTCTCTATTTCGTAATCCAATGTAGGCCAGGCCTGTCAGTGTTCACCAGGTCAGGGCAGGTCAGAGCGATTTTTGTCTGCTGCACCACTTTATCTGAGACCGTACTCGATCTCCGGTGTCAACGGAGGTCAGGCGGATTTGTTCTCCTGAGAAACTGTAGGTCGTTCCCGGCGCCACTGCAGGTCAGACTATTTTGCCTTATGTGTAACCCAAGATGAGCTGTTGTCCTGTACCGTGTCACTAAAGACAACGGGCTGTTGCTCACACCTAAATCAGTATAGATCAAAGGCTGTTACTCGGCACCTGAATCACTTAGGCTCATGGGCTGTTGTTCAACACCTAAGTATCTAAAGATCGTCGGCTGTCTCTTAAGATCATGGGTTGTTACTCGGCACCAAGTCACTAGAGATCACGGGACGTCAGTAAAATCCTGAGCTGTTGCTCGGCACCTAAGTCAGTGGAGATCATGGGCTGTTGTCATGCATGTGTCATCGAAGATTGTGGGCTGGTGCTAGACACCATGTCTCTCTATACATCAGACACTGCTGTGCATCACTTCATCTGCCAAAGTAACGACCGGACTTAACACTGTAGATTTGTGTTTAGGCATGGTAGCTTGAAGAAGCACGAAGTAATCATGTGAGGCAAATATGCACGCACGAAGCATGCCTCGGTTTATGACAACAGCGCTTCTTGTCCACTGCTAACATTTAAGTTCTTGATATTTTAATAATATTGTGAAGCTAATGACCTTGACACCTTCCGGTCATGCCTTTGCTGAGATGGCTGCCTCTCAGTGCTAAGGCTGCCTCTTAGCGCTGAAACGTTCGACGGTCGCACACGATCACTTGCGTAACGCACGCGCGCGTAGTACAAATAGATATCCCTGCTGCACTCTACAATCGCTTTGACAGATCTTAGGCACCGCCACACAAGGATGCACGGTTTTCACGGCAGTCCTCTACCTCTGGTCGATGGGGTTTTCTGAAAGATTTTCTCCCGGTATCATTTGTATCAACGCCCATTTGCCCCACTACCTGTGTCGCATTGTTCATATGTCCGCGTCGTCGTCATCACGGTAGTGTACAGCAACGGCGTCAGCAATCTCTATCTTTTTTTCGAGCGCCATTCTGAACTCCTCTTGGGGACTTCGCAGTATGCCGGGACTTGGCTAGCCCCGCTGTGGACAACGATCAGCCGTCACACGTCCCACCTGTCACCAAGGAGTTACCTGAACCACCGCAGGTCCCTGCACCACCACAAGTCCCCACACCGACACAGGCACCTGGGTCATCTCAGACGTCTGCACCAACGCTCAGCCTCGGGACCTGTCACCGGACACGCTAGATAGCTCTCGGACGTGGATCTCGTCACTCGCGACACATCAAATCAGATCGCTAAAAACCGGAGCTTCGCGCCATGCAATACACCATAGGCTGCAGGCGTTCACCCTGTGCACCGAATTAGGATTTGGTTACGCCCACCGCTGGTGAGTTTCGGGTGGTGACCTGACGAGTTGAGCCCGTCAAGCGGCGTCGGTCGGCGCAGGTCGTCGGGGTCGACGCGTCGCGCCTGACGTCGCCGGCGCGGCTGCGCCATCAATCTGATGCAGCGTAACGCGACATTATCCGCGCCCCATCCATCTCCGGCGCCCGGCCGGCTCGCTGAGAGGGCGCCGCTCCAGGCCGGGCAGGTCTATTATGGCGGTCTCGGCGGCTCATTCGGGGTCGCATTACCGGCAGCGGTGACGGGCTTCGGTGGATGGCGTACAAGTCGGACCGCGGGCCGTGACGAGGCCATGGCGGGCCGGCCGCAGGCAGGATCAGCTGTGGCGGACCGCGGGGCGTGGCGAGCCCATGGCGGGCCGGCCGCAGGCAGGATCAGCTGTGGCCCGGACACACCAGCCGGCGAGGCGATGACGGCGCTGGGTTACGGCACTCTGTTGGTCATGCTTGATGCTCCGTAAACAATGCGGCCTGTTTACATGGCGAGGGTCATGTGCCACTAGAACTTCACATCATGCGTGTGCATCTTGTGTAAGGTCAACTCAGGGCACTCCCGTATGTGGGCGATCGTCGTGGCAGTTCAGGATTATGCAAAAATCGTGAAGTCGAGCCCGTTAAGAGATGTGTTTGATTGCCTGTGGTTCCCAAAATGTCCAGATATCATGAACAATGCATACCAAGGTATGTGATCAGGCTAGGCTTGTAAATATGCTGCAACCCGATTCATTGCGTTCTTTTTACGTAAGTTGTTCAGTGGATTAGCGAGGAACAGTATTCACATAGATAAGAGAGAAATATTAGTCTTATTCCTCGGAGAAAACCAGGAGAATGGAGATATAGATGGGCTGATATTTCGGCAACATGCCTTTATCGGAACAATAGCAGAAGTGGCGCTGACGGCGCTCTTCTGCAAGTAAACGTGTTACACTCACGGACAGCTTTGCAAGAATGTCATCACGTCAAGAATGTCATGTCAAGGACAAAAACAGGCAAACAGCAATACTTGGTTCAACCAACACCTTCAGATCCACCACAGAGATTGAGTACAAGTGAGTGCTAGGGTGGCAATTTCACACGGTCAATTTGCAACCTTTTCTGCCATTGTTTCGATAAAAGCATGTTGCCGAAATATCAACCCAACTATATTTCCATTCTCCTGGTTTTCTGCAAGGAATAAGGCTTTCTTTTTTAACCTGGTGTCTATTTTGCTGGTTCTGGCAACATAACTGAAGAAAACATTTCGTAGCTGGTTCTTGCCAATTTTAGACAGAGAACGTACCGGCAGTGTTGATGTATAAAGGATCGAGACTGCGAAGCACTTCCTTTTCCCTGATTTCCGTTCGGTCCTGCAGTGCTTGCTTAGTCTGGATTGATGGTGCTGATTTAACACCATTAGCGATATTGGCACCATTCCACTCGGCTCCGCAATCCAGTTTGTAAGCTGGTGAGTCGCGGCCTAGAAGTTTACACACATTTCGCAGGGGTAGCATCTGACCGGGTTCAGCCACGGATAGCTGCCGGGCGGCGCGACCGCGAGACGGGTTAGCAATGCCTACCCCGTATGTAACAGCCACCGAAGCTCGGTCTGCGAGGCAAAAGCCAGCTCAATCGCCGCCACATCGGGCATGTCATACATCGTCCGGTTTATCCGGGAGACAATGCTTTAAAAGGAACGCGCCATGTTTGAAGATATTGAACCAAGCATCAGACATGATGAAAGAAGCTTACGGATAACTGTTGATATATTTCTTTAATGGAAAAGACTGGTCCAGACCATGCAATTTCTTTACTTAGTAGATATGCTCCTCAATGCGTCGTTGTTTGGTTATGTCATGGAACGTATGCATGACATTAGGATATTGCCAAGTTGGCCGTGCGAAATTGGCACCTTACCACTCACTTGTGCTCAATCTCCG